CCATGAGAAGGGTGAGTGCATGAAGCACAAAATAACTGTTCAAAACACAATCAAACCAGCATCTTCCTCAGCGCATCACACCTGTCTCTCCAAACGAAAACCAGGTCTAAACCAGGACTAAAACCAGGTCTAAAACAAAATTTAACCAGGACTAAACCATGTCGCATGGACCATGTCTCGTCCCATATGCCACGTACACCGCACCCGCCAATGTCGGAATGGCCACTCCTACGAAGGAAAAAAAGAAAATGTTGAAGTGCAGGGACGTTTGATCAAAAACTCCGCACTCTGACAATTAGACATCAGTGTTGGAGTAGCGGTGTGTCGGAATGGCAGCATGTAACCATTTTTCAGTTAGTCACTCTCACCTTTTTTGTTGAAAAAAAATAAAAAGCTAAGGCTACATTTATATGATGATGGTCTGAACAGAAGATGCAAAAGTGGCGCAGAGTCTTCACTTTTTATTCCGCGTTTAGACGAGTGTTTTCGGGAGGAAATCTGTGTGCATACGGTGAAGCAAAAGTGTGTGGAATTCAATTTCAATTTGCATGCCAGGTTCCTGTGTACTGTATGTATGTGATGTAAATGTGTGCGTGACATGAACAGATCTGACCAGAGTTTTGCATCAGTGTATTCAACTTTTCCACTCTGGAGGGTGGTTTCAGATTGTTGCATTTTTAAGCCCCAAAAATGCCGTCACCGTCTAAATGAAAGGCACTTCCGATAAAATATTTAGTCATTTTTACCCGCAAGCGTTCTCGTGTAAACAGGCTCCTGAAAATGTTTCTCTTAAATTTACCGCGTTTTCACACTATCTTAATACCTTTTGACAGTATTTGCTGGGGGCTGGGTATCGTTAAGAAGTTTCCGATTCGATACATACTTTGATACATTGGCCACGATACGATACATATTTCGATACAGTGCACTTTCGATTTGGTACGATATATTTCAAATTGAGGCGATAAGATTCAATAAAAAATAATGGCTAAATCATGGCTGTGATACTAAAAGTCTTTGTTAAACCACTTCTTGTGCAAAGTTCATATGAAACACAAACATTTTAATCATCAAAACAGTGAAATTGTCAAATGTGTCGCATAAACGAGTTTCTTTTCACTGAATAAGCAACAAAACTGTAGCGATGTCACAAAATAATTGAGTAAAATACACCAAAAAAAAATCCTCTTGGCGATACATCGATACAGCAGCCCACGATATCGATACTGTATCATCACATTAAACGATACATCAATATTTAGCTATTTTTGCACACCCCTAACGCGCGCATTGTGTCACCTTGATAACTGCTCCACATTCCACCACAGACACACGCGCAGAACATCCCCAGCGTGACGTCACCTACGCCAACCCCGTAGCGACCCCCGATAAACTCTTTTCATGTTTTAGAATAACTCGGGGCGTGTCCGTGTGCTTTCTCTTCTCTGCACCAGCACCGGCACCATCCCAATCATCCGCCCCGTTGTAAATATACACAGCGTATAAATAGAGAGACCTGAGCCGATTGGATTCAGTTGCAGAGGGAGGTAGAGTTTTGTACCGCGGAGCCGGCTGTCCTTTGCGGTTGGATCTCGGGGAGGTCCACACATATTCCCACCGAACTGCGTCGGACGGCTTTTCATCTACGCAGAGCTGAGATTATAGTCGTATAAGGTTTGCATCCTACAGTGGTTTGATAAAGGCCACACAACAAAGATAGGAGGAAGGAAGCGCATGGAAACAGGATGGATATAGAAACTGGAGTGGGCCCAAGCTCTAGGCAGCCTACACGAGTACGAGAGTGAAAAACATATTATAGCGCTCGTAAAAAAACAAACAGGAAGTCAGTCATAAATAGGTCATTCCTACAGCGTATCAATTTAACTTTATAAATCTTCGCCATCCCTATAAAACTTTGGAATACATCTTTACACATCAGATTACACATACGCGGTAGATACTAGCGCTGTCAAAACTAAAATATACAAAATCTGATACTAATCGGTATTAATACTAGTATTAAAACTTTAAACTCATTTAAACATGTCTCGATACCAGGGGTGTAACAATAACCGAAATATCGTGATATCGTGTCAATCCGTGTGTCATTCGTTCATTCGTTTTTCAATATAAAACCAAAAATAAGAAAATGAAAAAACAACTGTTGTCGTCATTATTTGTCTCCAAAACCAAAATGAAAAAAACAGATAACGATTTGTTTTTTCAGTTTTCGATTTTGTGTTTAAATGAAAAATGGAAAAAACGGATAAAGACCGTTTCCCGTTTACGTGACGTCCGTGACTGTGATGCCGGACTTTTGCACCACATATGAACTGAACCAGGACTGATCCAGGTCCAGGACCAGACCGAGACTGTGACCAGACCGGGACCAGACCGGGACCAGAGCAGGACGGAGACCGAGACCAGGCCGAGACCTGACCGGGACCAGACCGGGACTGAGACCGAGATCAGGTCGGGACCAGACCAGGACCAGACCGGGACCAGACCGAGACTGAGACCGGGACTGAGACAGAGACCAAGCCGGGACCAGACTGGGACCAGACCGGAGGTTCAGAGTCCACGGCAGGGCCGGAGCTCGAAGCTGAGGCTTGGACCCTGGGGAGGCTTGGAGTCAAAGCTCGGAGTCCACCCTGGTCCCGCTCTGGTCCCACTCTTTTTTCCATTCTTAATTTAAACACAAAATCGAAAACTGAAAAAAACGAATCGTTATCTGTTTTTTCATTTTGGTTTTGGAGACAAACAATGAAGAAAATAGTTGATTTTTCGTTTTCTTATTTTTGGTTTTATATTGAACAAACGAATGAACGAAATAGGTAATTTTACTTTTACTCGAGTACATTTTAACCCAAGTATTTTATTTCATTACATTGGAAACCACCCTCATTACTGATTAAAATCAGACTGATAGAGAAAAGAAAAAAACTGCTGGAAATGAAAGAAATTTACGCGGTCTTGCACCGGCGGCATTTTCACTATAGAATGTTCAGTCATTGTGCAGAACCGTCAGTCTGTCTTGGATCAACTTGGATGAGGCTGGTGCCGAGCCACAGATCAAGGTCATTATGGACGATATTCAAGAAGAAGGTGCATTAAATAATTCTCGAGAAGAAAGCGAAGGAAACCCTTGGCCAAACCTCGGACAGCTATTTGAATTCAAATGCAAAATAGGCAATAATGCAAGTGTTAAAATATTAAGTGTTAAGCTCAGTCGTCTTTAAAATGTACAAAGTTTGCACTGTTTCATCTAAAAGTTGATTAAACCAACTTCTGCTGGATTGGATTCATGACTCATCTTTTTTTTACATTAAATAATTGAAAGTATCTAAGTGACTTTTAATCAAATTACATTTTAAATAAAGTACATTTTTCTTATACTTGAGTAGATTTTTAGACGACTACTTTTACTTTTATTTGAGTAAGAATTAAGCAAAGCAAAGCAGAGATAATGTAATTGTAGACTTAATTACAATTACATATAATACAAAGTTCCTTCCACCTTCAAGGCGCTTTACAACAAGGAACCAGTCACACAAGGACACGACGACACCATTCATCTGCGGGAGCTGGAATCACACCAGCCAACCTGTGGATCTGACCGCTCAACTAATGATGTTTATACCAAGAGCGGGATTTGAACCACAAACCTTCTGATCAGTGGACAAAACATGCTGTCGCTCCTAAAAGATGGTATTAAGATTTAATGTTGAAAACCACATTCTATTGTCTAAAGAAAGTTTCAGCTTTGGTATCGAGTCTATTCCTTAGTATTGATATTCAGTCTGAAATGTTAGTATTGTGACAACACTAGTAAAAACTCCTCCCAGTGTCGATGAATAGTCTTGTTAATTTATCATAAACTGGCCTTGAATGAGCTGGAATGTGCAGCCCGGTGTCAGCGGATTCCTGTCTGTCCACACTGTCACTTTGAACTATGTGTGTTTGCACCTGGGCTGGACGTGAGCAGCGCCGGGGACTTCAGACGAGCAGTTGTCACCAGAACGAACAAGGTCAAGCCTCTAGAACACAACACGATAAAGTAACTAAATAACTTCAGATAAAAAGCCAACGGTTTTGATATAAAACATTAAAAGTGCACTGTGAAACTTCTCTGGTTCACTTGCTTTGTATGGCATTAAATCTATGTTGCATTTACCCAATAATATGTTTTTTATTGACTTAAAAACTTGGATTATAACTTGGCCTTATGGTGAAATAAGTTTAAGTTTTATGATGCGCAGAGCATTTGACGGCAGAATTGAAAAAGTTGAACCAATCAGGGACTCTCCGTGTGTCAATGACATTATCTGGAAGAAGGAGAAGAAAGAGAAAGACCCCGGAGCCACAAACACCATAACAAGAAAATATATGCAGATTAAAAAAAAAAATTCCAGGTTTATATTCCCTCTATACAAAACAACTGCAAATTTCCTCCGTAAAAGACATCAGCAGAAATTGCGTTATAGATACTTATTATGTAGCCAGTTTTTCAGTTTTCATTCATTTTTGTTAAAATTAATAATGGAAGAAACGGATAATGCCCGTTTCCCATTTCCGTAACTAAAACAGGACTAAACCAGGTCTAAACTGCCTCAGTCCCGGTCTGGTCCCAGTCTGGTCCTGGTCTCAGTCCTAAATCAGGACTAAACCAGGCCTAAACCAGAAGTGAACTAGGAGAGTCGGGATGGGCCCGAAGGTGCGCCCGCGTAGACTGTCGGGTGATCAGGAAATGCCGGGACCAGCCCAGGATTGAGACCAGGACGGAGACCAGTACTAAAAGGTTTAGACCTGGTTTAGTCCTGGTTCAATTCTGGATCTAGTCGAGTCCCGTTTTAGTCCAGCATCGTTTAAGTCACGGAAACGGGAAACGGCCTTTATCCGTTTTTTTCCATTATTCACTTAAACACAAAATCAAAAACCGAAAAAGAATCGTTATCCTTTTTTTTCATTTTGGTTTTGGACACAAATAATGAAGAAAATAGTTGTTTTTTTGTTTTCATATTTTTGGTTTTATTTCGAAAAACAAATGAACGAATGATACACGGATTGTCCAGTGCAGCTTTAGTGGAGTTTATAAAGCCTAGGACAGACTGATCTGCACCATCAACCCCTTCGATCACCACACACTCACCACTTTCTTACTGAGCAATGTGGGTAAAGTGTCTTGCCTAAGGACACGACGACAGTTTTTCCCACTGGCGCCCCATTGTAGCCCTTGGTACGATATACGAACAAACAACGCTTATAGTTTTTTTTTTTTTTTTCCCCCCATTGTGTAGTTTAATTTTGAAGTCAAGATAAAGATACAACATGATATAGAAGAGTAAATGTGGCTAACTTTTAAAAATAATAACTTTTTTTTGTATATTTACAATTCCAAACACATATACAGTATACACAAGTTACTTTACTGTCATGGATATAATCAAAATACTAATAATAATGATGATGAAAAATGTTAAAGGTCCCATATTACGCTGTTTTCTGGTCTCTGTTATAATATTTCCTCAACAATAAACAGACCAGGAGTTGTGTTTTGTTTCATTCACGCATGTTTAACACACAAACCCTGCGTATTTAGGCTCATGTGTTCTTTTGTCAAATCAAAACACTCTGCATTGTCTTTTTAAACACCATCAGTTTTCACTAGAACCATTTGGAAAGATTTCAGCTCTTGAATTGCCGATTTCTGCTGAACTAAAGGTAAAAGGGGCTGTTAACTACCGCTTCATGACATCACAAGGTGGAATAGAACGTTTTGAGCTTTGGAGATGTAGACAGACTAATAATAAAGTGTTACTCGAACATGTGTGAATGAAACAAAACAAAACTAACAGTATTATAACATTGTGTGTAATATGGGACCTAATACTAAAAAATTATGCATCGATAGTTGAATCCGTCATCTCCAAACCAGAGCGGAGTCCCGAGTCCCGGCTTCTCCTGCCTCACCTCGTCCTCCTTCGCCCTGAGAAAGAAAAAAAAGGAAAGAGAACAATGAGCATCCTGTCCCGTGGTCATGTGTCCCGCAATCACCTGCTTTTCCACCAGCGCCGTCTGCTTTGGCCAAGTTTATGTGGCCCGTGCCCTGAACTCTGACCCCCGCGGAGGAACATCTGTTTGAGGAAAAGGACAACTGACATAATCCCGTGTTCGTGTACTGATGTGATTTAGGTTAAACTGGAGAGCGCCTGAACTCCGCCCTCAGGCTCAACCGCACTGAAACTGAGCTCGGTGTATGTACAGGAGTGTTTGGTGTCATTATACACGACCAGTCAAAAGTTTGGACGCATTTTTCATTTATTTTTACTTCTTTATTTCTAAGATTATTTACACGTTTCGATTCTCACTGAAGGCATCAAAACTATGAATGGACACACATGGAATGTAGCTGAAAATAACTCAAAGCTGCTTTTAGATTTATGAAAAAAATTGCCACCGTTTGCTTTTGACAATGTGCCTTTCTTGACCCTGACAAGGCACACCTGTTACATGAAAACCATTACAGGAGACGTCATCGTGAAGAGAAGTTCAAGCGTTTGCAGCTCTGTCAACAAAGCAAAGTGTGGATACTTTTTTGTCTTTGCTTTATAATTTCATATATATGCTTCATATATTTCTGCATGTATATAGAATAAAGAAAGTGGTAAACAAAGAAAAAAAAATAAAAAATTTAATAAGAAGTTGATCTCAAACCTTTGTGACTGTACACAAAAAACAGAGAAGGAAAGAATACAGTACAATTTGTGAACAACTTTACTCTAAATATATAATTATTTAATTATCAATGAATATGAGAAATTAAAGGATAATATGCTTGGACATTTACTACTACTATTGGTTTAATCAAAACTGTCTATACAGACATATATTTATTTATTTTTTTACATCTTTTCTGGGGTAAATGCTCTGAGCCACTATGATTCTAACCAGTTACACACTACAGCCTTGGGGTGTAATGGTACATGTATTTGTGTCGAACTGTTTTGGTACGGGACGTTTGGTTCGGTGCAGGGCAGTGCACATGTGAAGTCACGCAATTTGTGTGTGTTTACATTTCACCACTACACGTGCAGCTACATGGAAGGCTCAGCTCTTAAATATTCACGAAGGAACTCGTCCGTGATTGAGGTGGCAGTGTTTCCCGCAACGCTTTATAGTTAGAGCGTGCGCCTTGACAATTGTCCCCCGCCGTGACTACGTCCCTCCGAACCACGTGAATCTTTGCAAAACTACGATCATCTTGCTGCTGTCCTCACTTTCACCGGCATGCAATCTCCGCTCTGCAGCAGATCTGCACTTACTACAGACAATCTGTGGCAAGGAGAAAATTCAGTTTGTCGACTGGACAAAAGTTAAGGTTGGTTGAAGACATTTCATTCTCCTATTTACAACTCCATCCTCAAACCTAATTCAAAACAAACAAGAGAACAACAGGTGTAGTCAGGTCAGGTCCAGAGGTGTGAAGCTCCATAATGGCCATGAATTGTTATGCTAATGAGACCCCACACTCTGTACAGGTCAATAGGCCGAACTAACTAATAAATTGTAAACAAGTAGGTGTTTTAGATTCAGAGTTAGTTAGCTCCTCCCTTCAGGCAGATATAAGGAAGTGTCCAGCAGCATCTGACCAGAACTGAAGACGCAGCTTGGATGAGCTGCGAAACGTGTTCAACCAAACTAACTTTTGTCCAGTCGACAAACTGAACTTTCTCCTCGCCGTGGATTCTACCTGGACGACTGAGGGATTCTTAACACATCTAGACAATGTGTACAAGTTGTTTTTTCTGGCCAAAAATATGAAGAGTAAAACCTGGAACTGACAGCGCTGCTAACCTTGGTTTTTGTGCACCATTACACCTCTAGTACAGTGTTAGGGTAGCCTACTTCAACAAACGACAACAAATAATCCAAAAGCAACTGACAACACCAACCATGACACAGAGAACTTGCATTGCCTTCAAAACTTGTGGACCTTAAGTGACTGAGCCTTGGGGGGGGGGGCTTTGACGATCTCCCAAACTCCATTGTAAACACAGAGGCTTATTCTGGTTTCAAATTTGACCTGTGTTAATTTGAACCGCTCCTTTTATAAAGAGTGGAGTTTTAAAGCAGTAATGTTAGAGGAGGGGCTCATGTTGCAGGTAAAGCCCACAGAGATACAGATCTGTGGGCAGGCTGTGTGCTGCTGAGAGATCGGCCATACCAGGTAGGATTTAGCAGCGTGTAAAAAATACCCAAGTCGAGATCATGAAACAGGCTCACTCCCCTTTGGCTAAACATAAAGCTGCACTACAGTGTGTAACTTTTTGGTTGGGGGTCTTTCCCCTGCTTGTTTCTGTGGATATTGTCATTGCTCTGCCTGGAATGTTCCACAGTGTGGCATTAAACAGCTCTACCTTACATTTATTCAATTACAGTTGGTTTTAGAGCTCAAAAATACCTAGAAAAACACACATTCTGACTGTCAGTGGGTTCGTCTCTCCACAAATTTGGCCTGTAACTTGGTCTAATTTGGTCTCCGTGAAGATAGAAGGGTTTAATGCCATACTGTGAAACATTCAAGACAAAGCAGCAGCATGGAGAAAAGCATTTGATGGAACCTCTGCCAGAAAAGTTACACAATGCACCTTAAAAAAAAATAAAAACAAAAACAGAAAAAATATGTTTCAATCAGGCCCAGCTCAAATATGACTACATGTTGTACTTTCTTACATTTTTCTTTACATTTCTCTAACTCTAAATCTAATATCCCCACTTTTGTAAAAGTTCCACCTGTCCTCTGTAGCAGAATACTGCAGGGTAAAAAAAAAAAAATCACCTGCTGCTAAAATAAGCTGTGTGAATGTTTTCGCAGGCTGCCTAGCAAAGCAGAGACCAGAAAAGAACAATGTGACAAATGTAGAACCCACACGTGTTAGCCAGTCTTTTTTTATACATGCGCATTTTCTATTAAGATCCTATATTACGCAAAATTCTCTTGTGAGCTTTGTGTTTTGTTTCATTCATGCATGTTTGAGCAATCCTTTGTTATTATCATCATTATTATTATTATTGTCTGTTTATATCTCTGTTCCACCTTGTGATGCCTTTAAGCGGTAGTTTTCAAGTTAATAGCTTTGTGTTTTACCTTTTGTTCAGTAAATATGGGCAATTCCAGGGCTGAAATTATCCAAATGATTCTGGTGAAGGTGCATGGAGTTTAAAAACACAGTGGTGCACTTCCTGTATTACCACATGACATCACAAGGAGGCACAGAGTATTTTTAGTTTGAAAGAAGATCTCAGCCTGAATATCCAGAAGTTTGTGTGTTAAACATGTGTGAATGAAGCAAAACACAAGTCCAGGTCTGTTTTTAAAGAGGAAACAACATTAAAACAGATCAGAAAACAGCATAATATGGGCTCTATATATCGAAGAAAAAAATGCAAAATGAAAAAGTATAAATGTTGCTGTTCTTTTAGTTTGTATAAGTCTAAGTTTTATCAGTTCATATTATTGTTGTCCTGCTCCTCTCTCTGTCATGTGCACTTGTCTTCACTGGTGAAATATATTCAGATGTGTAGTGCACTTCAGTCATAGCTCCACCTCTGCAGAGACTTGCTCTATGACAGACCAAGAATGTGACTCTGACATTGACGCCACATTATTCTCTCAGTTTAGCCTTTAATCAGGGTCTGACCTTCGACCCCGCTCTCTGGACCTCAACCTTCAAGCCTCCACTGGTCTTGAAGGTTGGTCAAGATGCTCACATCTTGATAAGAAAAGGAAGGAAAGGGATTGTGATATGAAGCTGTGTTCAAGAAGACCATTGGATCATTATGTTATAATTTACACATTTAAACTGAAATATTCATCTTAAATGTCTTAGTAGAAGAAGTGGAGTGTGAGAGCTGTAAACATCATCGCAACAAAAAATTGGTATCTTCAATGTGGATTGCAGCAGATCACCTTAGAAAGCACCAAAATAACTAGGCGATGCTGCCAAATCCTATGTGTATCACTGATTAAGAAAATATAACTGGATAATGAAGTATAGTACAGAGCAGTGGCTGTATGCTGGTGGTGGTGAAAAGGTAGCCAGGCCTGGGCCACCTAGTGCTTCTGCTCAATTTCATTTCTCCAGCGACTAGTTCAGGAATCAGAATACACTAGACCAGGCATGTCCAAACTATGGCCCATGGGCCAAATGCGGCCCTCAGACAAATTTTTCTTGGCCCTCAGGCTTCCAGGTGAATTGGCCCAAATTACCTTGCATCAATTAAAAATGAACTTTTTACTGCAAGTTTTTTGAAAATTTACCTTGATAAAGTTTATATTTAATATTTAGTGTGTGGTTTTAAGGATCTTAGAATGAGACAGTCTTTATTCATTCTAACATGTTAAACATTTAATTATTCACTGTACTGAGCACCAGTCTACGGCCCTCGATCGGCCCTCTGCTTCATCTGTGTTTACATATGTGGCCCTTGATGAAAAAAGTTTGGACACCCCTGCTCTAGATGGTTTGCAAGAATCCCGGAAGTTGTAGACCGCGCACCGGCCAATGAGCAAAGAGCTGTGAAGCCATGACATTAAACTCAAGTGCCTGTCTGTGTCCCTTTTGTGGTACAACACAACAGTAAACAAAGCGTCAAGATGGATGTAGATGAAGCCAGACATTCTGTGTTGGCAACGATTCCCGAGATCGAGGATTTAAAGCTGGAATAAAGAAAATGTTTGGTGAATTTTATCAAGGGGAAAGACGTTATTGCCCTTCTTCCTACAGGAGTTTTGCGCATTACATACGTCATGACCAAACAGCAGTGATTGGTTAAATTAAAAAAGCACCCGCCTACCGTCGAGTGAACGAATCCTAATGCTGCGACATCAGACGGTTTCCAGGAAGTTAAACCAACTGATGAATCATTCTAGTGAAAATGGGGATTGATCTGCAAAATGGCATCTTGAAAATAAGCAATTAAAGA